AGTATCCACATTAAGGAAAGATTCTTTATTACTGACATTTTCAGGCCTCAGGAGATGTTTGTACCTACATCTCTAGTGGAAAAGGACATTGAAGTGAGTTTGTTGACAAAGCTTGCCCATATATATTATTCATAACAGTAAAATCTTGTTTTAATATACTGGAGAATGGTAATTGCTGGTTTATGAGTATATGGACCATTTCAAGTAATTTTGTATGGTTTATAGATCCACCTGTGTATTAACAGTAGTCTTAGAGCAAGTTAGTAACATTCTTCACACCTATATGAAGAGACTTTGAAGTATGTGATTAATAAAATGTAATATTTAAGTGTTAGCAAATTTCAAGTAGTTTTATATGAATATGTCATGTATTGATAATCAAAATACAGTAGTTATTATGAATACAGAGGGATGATGACTGGAGATATATAGTATGTATATACATGCATACTTTTTTTTTCCCAAGGTGTCCTCATGTTCAAAAACTAAAACCCATGCTAGAAAAAATGAGACTGTCTTATGATGTAAAATATCATACCCTCAGTGTCTTGCTAAAAAATGACTTCCACAATTCTAACTGTGGTTGTTATGCAAAATCACATTTCCATGCAACCACATTTTTTCAAGGATTGCTTGAAAGAGGGAACACTGCAGGATTTGGGCAAAGTTTTTCAGAGGTATAAAGGGTAGAAATTATCGAGTAGTTAAACCTCAGTGTGTGTGTGTGTGTGTGTGTGTGTGTGTCTGTGTCTGTGTCTGTGTGTGAGAGAGAGAGAGTAGCTCAGTCGTGTCTGACTCTTTCTGACTGCATGGACTGTAGCCTGCCAGGTTCCTCAGTCCATGGAATTCTCCAGGCAATAATACTGGAGTGGGTAGCCACGCCCTCTTCCAGGGGATCTTTAAATCAAACCATCTAGACTCTATTTTTAAGAAACTGCCCTTTGCTGCTGCTGCTGCTAGTAAGTCGCTTCAGTCGTGTCTGACTCTGTGCGACCCCATAGACGGCAGCCCACCAGGCTCCCCCGTCCCTGGGATTCTCCAGGCAAGAACAGTGGAGTGGGTTGCCATTTCCTTCTCCAGTGCAGGAAAGTGAAAAGTGAAAGTGAGGTCACTCAGTTGTGTCTGACTCTTAGCGACCCCATGGACTGCAGCCTACCAGGCTCCTCCGTCCCTGGGATTTTCCAGGCAAGAGTACTGGAGTGGGGTGCCATTGCCTTCTCCAAAACTGCCCTTTACTGTCTACCATAACAGATATTTCAATTATTATAAAGCCCATCCTTCATGATTCTAGAACCTACTTTATTTTTCTAAATTGTATAATGTACCTTTTTTTTTTTGCTTTTATCCTCTCCCCAAATTTATGCCAACTATCTTTTCCTCTAACCATTTTCTCACTACTGACCTATTTGTATCTCTTGTAGAAGCCTTAACTCAAATTTTAAGAATTCATAGGTGGTAGGAGACAGGTAAGTTTTTGTACTGCTGTGAAAGCACTTCATCAGGCATTCAGAATATTACTGATACTTTCATTTTTATTATAAATAGTTATAGTATTTTGCTGATTTATCATTTATAATTTTTTATTGAAGGATAACTGACTTACAGGTGTACAATACAGTGATTCTAGATCCCCTGGAAAAGGGAATGTCAACCCACTCCAGTATTCTGGAGGAGCTTGGTGGGCTACAGTCTATGGGGTTGCAAAAGAATTGGACAAGACTTAGCAACTAAACTGCAACAAGAACAATGTATGTGTGTGTGTGTGTGTGTGTGTGTATATTTATATATGTAATATATATTCTTTTCCAGCTTCTTTTCTGGTATAGTAATTACAAAATAATGAGTATAATTTCCTATGCTATACAGTAAGTCCTTGTTGGTTATCTATTTTATATATAGTGTAGTGTATATATATATATATATATATATATATATATATAGTAGTGCATATATGTTAATTCCAACCTCCTAATTTATCTGTCTTCCCTTTTCTCCTTTGGTAACCATAAATTTGTTTTGTATGTCTGTGAGTCTCCTTTTTACAAATAAGTTCATTTGTATGTTTTTAGGTTTAATGTATAAGTGATATGATTTTTGTCTTTGTCTGACTTCACTTAGTATGTGATAATCTCTAGGTCCATCTATGTTGCTGCAAATGGCATTATTGTATTCTTTTTTATGGCTGAGTAGAAGAAAGTGAAGAAGAACTAAAGAGCCTCTTGGTGAAAGTGAAAGAGGAGAGTGAAAAAGTTGGCTTAAAGCTCAACATTCAGAAAACTAAGATCATGGCATCTGGTCCCATCACTTCATGGCAAATAGATTGGGAAACAGTGGAAACAGTGGCTGACTTTATTTTTCTGGACTACAAAATCATTGCAGATGGTGATTGCAGCCATGAAATTAAAAGATGCTTACTCCTTGGAAGGGAAGTTATGACCAACCTAGATAGCATATTAAAAGTAGAGACGTTACTTTGCCAACAAAGGTCTGGTCAAGGCTATGGTTTTTCCAGTGGTCATGTATGGATGTGAGAGTTGGACTATAAAGAAAGCTGAGCGCCGAAGAATTGATGCTTTTGAACTGTGGTATTAGAGAAGACTCTTGAGAGTCCCTTGGACTGCAAGGAGATCCAACCAGTCCATCCTCAAGGAGATCAGTCCTGGGTGTTCATTGGAGGGACTGATGTTGAAGCTGAAACTCCAATACTTTGTCCACCTGATGCGAAGAGCTGACTCATTGGAAAAGACCCTGATGCTGGGAAAGATTGAGGGCAGGAGGAGAAGGGGACGACAGAGGATGAGATGGTTGGATGGCATCACCGACTCAATGGACATGGGTTTGGGTAGACTTTGGGAGTTGGTGATGGACAGGGAGGCCTGGCGTGCTGCGGTTCATGGGGTTGCAGAGTCAGACATGACTGAGAGACTGAACTGAACTGAACTAAATATTCCATTTTATGTATATACCACATCTTTTTATCCATTCATCTGTCAATGGATATTTAGGTTTTTTCCATGTCTTGGTCATTGTAAATAGTGCTACAGTGAACACTGGGGTACTTGTATCTTTTTGAGGTATGGTTTTTTCCAGATACATCCCAGGAATGGGATATTAAGATCATATGGAAACTGTATATTTTGTTTTTTAAATTGATAATTTGGTTATGCTTTCACCATTTTATCCAAGCAAAGTGTCATATAATTACCAGAGAAACTTGGTCATATTAGCCATTTCAGTCAGATTGTTCATTCCTGTTCTGGAACTGTGGTAGCCTAGGTTTGTATAGCATATTTTCTTGATGCCCATGCTGTTGGAATGAAGATGATTCCATGGCTATGAACAGTAATTTATAAAAGCATGTAGAGCAGAGAGCCAGTTTTCTTTACTTGTTTGTTCAGTTACAATAATTAATGATGAGTAAGATTTGTCATTTTTTTTCCTGAATCCTTTTTATAACAGCAGTAGATTTGTGAGCCTGATATATATATATATTACTTTCTCAGAGTGCTGAACACAGAAAGTAAAATTGCCATTCCTCATGTATAGCAGCACATCTATGCCCATACCAAATACCATGGTCATAATTCAGATTGCTAGTGAATCATACCTCTTTTTTCCACTGAGACCAGATTCAGCCCCCATTCTTTCCAGTGAGGCTTCCTTGGCATTTTTGTATATAAGTTAATACCTTGTACAGGGTCAATACATACTCACTTAAATGAAGAAGTAAATGGTTAAGTAATATTCCATTGTACATATATCATATTGCCTTTATCCATTTATCCATCAGTGGACATTTATATAGCTTTCATGTTTGCCTATTGTGAACAAAGAGGTGCAATATCTCTTCAAAATAGTGATTTCATTTCATTTTATACAACCAGAAGTGGAATTACCAAATTATATAGCAGTTCTATTTTTTTTTAATCTTTTGAGGAACCTCCATAGTGTTGTCCTTAGTAGCTGTACTAATTAACATTCCCCCAACAGTACACAGTGTTCTTTTCTTCTTTTTTTTTTCCAAATCCTGCCTTCATGTTATTTCTTGTGTTTTTGTTTTGTTTTGTTTTTATTTCTTTGGTAATAGCCATTCTAATGAATGTGAAGTGGTATCTCATTGTGGTTTTATTTGCCCTTGCCTGATGATTAGCAATGTTGAACACCTTTTCACTTCCTTGTTGGTCATTTGTATATTTTCTTGGGAAGACATGCAGGTTGTTTGCCAGTTCTTTAACTGGATTCTTTTGCTGCCAAATTGTATGAATTCTTTGTATATTTCAGATGTTACACACTTTCAGTTATGTGGTTTACAAATGTTTTCTCCCATTCCATAGTTTGCCTTTTCATTTTGTTGATTTTATTTTTGTTGTGCAGAACTTTTTAGTTTAATTCACCATTTAATCTCCACTATCACAAGCATATTTCAGTAAGCATGAAGACTACAGTCTCACAATCCTGACCGAGGAAATATAATTTAGAATTAACTTCCTTCCAAATTAAGACATTCCTCTGATGTGCTGCCCAGTGGAATAAAGTTGCATTCTCTGACAGTACTTGGCCCCACCCAGCTGATCTTTTGTGTACAGTTATGTGAAGGAGACCTAATACCAAGTTACTAAAAGCATCTCTCTGCAGCCTTGCCTGTATCTTCACTTAGTTCATTTTACTTTCTGTTGCAGTCTCTCTGAGATGCGGTTGGCACTTCTATCATTTAAAGGCAGCAAGATTATCTTCAAGAAAAACAGCTCTAAAATCCATCCATCCTATTGACGTCAATTGCTTAGGAAGGGAGTGAATACAGAAAACTTCGTAGAAAGTCAGCTCTGCGTGTTTTATCTCTTTTAGATTTCCAAGTGAAAACAATTACTAGAAAGCCTGGGGTTGTTGCTGATTATAAAACAGTGATTTTCCCTCTCCTGTGATTTTTAAAAATTCAGTAGTTTGAACTATCTGAATCAAAGTTTAAACTTTGATTTATATAGCTGTATAAGAATTTTGCAATGTCAACTGTGAAGTTTGAATTGGATAATCTTTCTCCTGAAGGATTCAGACATGAGCATGCGTCCAGCTCAGATTTTACTTTAACCTGCTTGACTGAACTTTCTGGTGATTCTAGTCAATGGGAACTTCAGCACTCCAATTCTGTCCCTGTTGGTAAGCTAAACTTTAGATTGATATTTTTGAGTATCTTAATTTAGATCTGTACTTTTTAAATGCCAGATGTGTAAAAAGTAAATCTTGATGTCATTTACTTTGCAGTGGTGTAACTGATGTCAGTTTTAATTTCTTGAGTTATTTTTTCCTGAAATATATAAATACTTTTATAGAAAAGAATAGAGGGTTTTCCAATAGAGTAAAATGTCAGAAAACAAATTCAATGAACTAAAAAATGTTAATGGTGAAGTAGATTTTGTTTGTCTGAACACTCAAGTCTATCATGGCTTAGTTTTGTTTGGGATGACTGATGAAATCAGGGGATTTATCCATAAACTGCAAAAAAAAAAAAAAAAGTCCTGCCATCTTTCATTCCTCTTTTTTATTTCTGTTTCCTTTTACATAATTATATGAAGAACAATATATGCTTTGCTTCTCTTTAAGAACAAGATAGTGTTACTTCTGGTTTTGTTGTTTTATTTGGATTCTGTGTGAGCTGACAGTGTTAATAGAATTTAATGTGAAGAGTTTCTTTTTTGATAGCTTTGGGAATCTCAGTTTTCCTTCTTGCTCTGCAATGTTGAGTAAATAATGCTAGACACTAATAGTTTGCATTCATCAAAAATTTCTGATGGTTTCATTTGGATGAACAGCTATGAAATGTCAATAATAAATTGTTCTTTGTAGAAAAAAACTGTATAATAAATAATACTTATGGTTTCATTTGGATGAACAGCTATGAAATGTCAATAATAAATTGTTCTTTGTAGAAAAAAACTATATAATAAATAATACTTAAATGTTATGCTAAAGGGAAACTATTATGATTTAGTTCTTTATCTTTACTCATAAAGATGACAGTGTAATATGAATATAAAAGTTAAGCAAAGCCTTCATCACTGTGGTTGTTACTGGACATTAATCTTTGTCCAGTGAAAAATATTTGCAGAAATAATAAATTCCATTTTGTAACCAGAAGATTATTCCAAGAGAATTTGGCACGTTTATTTATTTTGAGATGTTTAAAAAGAAGCTTTATGTGACTCCCACACAATTGCTGATTTTTTTGTTCATAGATTCTTTGTCTTCTGTGACTTGTTTTATTATACTGTAGGCAGTTCTAAAGTCAGTAGATATAACAATCTTTTGAAAATTTTCTTTCCATTGATAGAAAAGAGGTCCCCATGTTACTGCTTTTTCTTAAATTGAGAATCTTCTTGAGCACTGAACCTACAATTTCATAAAGTGGAAAAATCAGTTCTTTATAAGTAAATGCAGCTTTATACAGGAAACTTAGACAGGAAAAGAAAATTTATAAACAAAACATTTGCCAGTTAAATCATTTTCTTTGCAAGGAATTTTATCTTATTTCATCTCTGTCATAGCACATCTGTTTGAATGGATTGAACAGTTGTCTTCATGCAGTTGAGCTGTACATCTATAGCTTAAGCGTAAACCCAGAGCCTGGAAGACACTTCCTCATTGATATCCTCACAGTGCCTCAAATTCAAAACAACTAAGCAAAACTTCCTAAAAACTCCTCCTCCTTCTTATATCCTTTTTTCCATTTTAGTCAATAACTGCTTAGCATATATTGTGGTATAAAGTTTGTGTTTAGTTGTATGCATATTAGTTTATTAATAATATTTGTCTTCTCTACCTCTTTGACAACCACTGTAGCTCTAGTACTCAATAGATTTCCTGGCAGTAAAAGATTGTTGATATGATTCCCTGCCTGCATACCTAAGGACAGAAAGATTGACCCTCTTCATTCCCCCTAGTGCATGCAGCTGTGTAGACTTCTAACTGATCTCACCTCCAGGTTCCTCTTAACAAGCCTCTTCCATATTGACAGGCACATTTGTTGTTATTTGGCTTCTCAGTCATGTCTTACTCTTTGCCACCCCATGGACTGCAGCTCGCCAGGCTTCCCTGCCCTTTGTCATCTCCCAGAGCTTGCTCAAACTCATCTCTATTGAGCTGGTGATGCCATGCAACCATCTCATCCTCTGTTGTCCCCTTCTCCTCTTGCCTTTGACCTTTCCCAGCCTTTGACTTTTCCCTTCAGGTGGCCAAAGTATTGGAGCTTCAGTTTCAGCATCAGCCCTTCCAAAGAATATTCAGAGTTGATTCCTTTAGGATTGACTGAATTGTTCTCATTGCTGTCCAAGGGACTCTCAAGAGTCTTCTCCAGCACCACATTTCAGAAGCATCACTTCTTTGATGCTCAGCCTTCTTTAAGGCCCAACTCTCACATTCATGCTTGACTACTGGAAAAACCATAGCTTTGACTATATGGACCTTTGTCGGCAAAGTAATATCTCTGTTTTTTAATATGTTGTCTGGGTTGGTCATAGCTTTTCTTCCAAGGAGCAAGCAGTCATCATCTGCCCTTATTTTGGAGCTCAAGAAAATAAAGACTGCCAGTGTTTCCATGGTTTCCCCATCTATTTGCCATGAAGTGATGGAACCAGATGCCATGATCATAGTTTTTTGGATGTTGAGTTTTAAGCCAACTTTTTTCAGTCTCCTCTTTCACCTTCATCAAGAAGCTCTTTAGTTTCTCTTCCCTTTCTGTCTTAAGGGTGGTGTCATCTGCATATCTGAGGTTGTATTTCTCCTGGCAATCTTGTTTCCAGCTGGTGCTTCATCCAGCCAGGCATTTCACATGATGTACTCTGTATATAAGTTAAATAAGCAGGGTAACAATATACAGCCTTGAAATACTCCTTTCCTAATTTTGAACCAACTGTTGTTCCATGTCCAGTTCTAACTGTTGCATCTTGACCAGCATACAGGTTCCTCAGAAGGCAGATAAGGTGGTCTGGTATTCCCATCTCTTGAAGAATTTTCCACGGTTTTTTGTGATCCACACAAAGGCTTTAGCATAGTCAATGAAGCAGAAATAGATGTTTTTCCGGCATTCTCTTTCTTTTTTATATGATCCAACAGATGTTGGCAGTTTGATCTCTGGTTCTTCTGCCTTTTCTAAATGCAGCTTGAACATCTGGAAGTTCTCGGTTTATGTACTGTTGAAGCCTAGGTTGGAGAATTGTGAGCATTACTCTGCTAGCATGTGAAACAAGTGCAATTGTGTGGTAGTTTGAACATTCTTTGGCATTTCTTTTCTTTGGGATTGGAATGAAAACTGACCTTTTCCAATCCTGTGGCCACTGCTGCATTTTCCAAATTTGCTGGCATATTGAGTGCAGCACTTTAACAGCATCATCTTTTAGGATTTTAAATAACTCAGCTGGAATTCCATCACCTCCACTAGCTTTATTCATAATGATGCTTCCTAAAGGCCCATTTTACTTCACACTCGAGGATGTCTGGCTGTAGGTGAGTGATCACACCACCTGGTTATCTGAGTCATTAAGATCTTTTTTGTAAAGTTCTTCTCTGTATTATTTCCACCTCTTCTTAATATCTTCTGCTTCTGTTAGGTCCATACCATTTCTGTCCTTTTCTTTGTCCATCTTTGCAGGAAATATTAGCTTGGTGTCTCTGATTTTCTTAAAGAGATCTCTAGTCTTTCCCATTCTATTGTTTTCCTCTGTTTCTTTGCAAACTTAGGAAGGCTTTCTTATCTCTCGGTACTCTTTGGAATTGTGCAGTCAGATGGGTATATCTTTCCTTTTCTCCTTTGCTGTTTGCTTCTCTTCTTTTCTCAGCTAATTGTAAGGTCTCCTCAGATAACCATTTTGCCTTTTTGCATTTCTTTTTCTTGGGGATGGGTTTGATCACCACCTCCTGTACAATGTTATGAACCTCCATCCATAGTTCTTTAGGCACTCTATCAGATCTAATCCTTTGAATCTATTTGTCACTTCCACTGTTTCATCAGAAGGGATTTGATTTAGGTCATTCCTGAATGGCACAGTGATTCACTACTTTCTTCAATTTAAGAAGACAGTCACATAGTCCTTCATAAGTACAAGTCTGACCTATTTTCACATTTGTTTACAATTTCTGTAATTCTTGTGACCTCAGTTATAAACCCAGTGCTCTATGATCTAAATCTGTTTTTTTCCAAAACTTTTCCAGCCTCATATAACCTACACATACCCAACAAGAATGTTTTTCACTTTAAAACAGTGTGCATATTATTCTTTCAAAATAATTTCCAATAATTCTTTCCTTCTGCCTCTATTAAGATCTCACTGAAATAAAATACTGTTGTATCCCCAAATACCTATGATTAACTCTCTGTATAAAGGAGTTTTTCCTGTTGTTAAACTTCTACAACATGTTTGTTCACTGTGTTAAAATTTTCACATTCTAATTATTTTTTTAAATACATGTGCTCATGGCTCCGCTCCTATTAGATTATGTTTCTTAAAGGTAATTGCCATTTCACAATTGTTTTTTGTGTCTGTGAATGATACTCATACAATAAATATGATTCAGTGAGTTGCCAATTAGTACCATATAGTTTGGGCTTCCCTGGTAGGTCAGCCGGTAAAAAATCTGCCTGTAATGCAGGAGACCCCTGTTCAGTTCCTGGGTCAGGAAGATACCCTGGAGAAGGGATAGGCTGCCCACTCCAGTATTCCTGGGCTTCCCTGGTGGCTCAGGCCTGGGTTCAATCCCTGGGTTGGGAAGATCCCCTGGAGGAGGGCCTGGCAACCTACTCCACTATTCTTGCCAGGAGAATGTCATGGACAGAGAAGCCTGGCAGGCTGTCATCCATGGGTTCAAAAAAAGTGGTATGTGACTAAGCACAGAACAGTATAGTTTATCTTCTAATGAATTTTATGTTATAGGTAGTATTTACTGAAATAAAATTATGCATATATTTTAACAGGCAAAATATGTGGAAATTATTATATAATTTGTTGCCTGATAATAACAAGTACCTGGAATTTGTTTTTTATTTGAAATTTTTATGGAGCATTGAGCATTCTAGAATCTGTTGTGTATGATAAATCTTTTTATCCTCTTTCTAACAGAGTCAAGTTGTATCCTTTCATTCAATATATATTGACTGAATATTCATG